ATATTTTTCTTTGCACAGTTGGATGGCCGTGTTTGTATTCTGAACCCATTCTGAAGAGAAAAATCCAAAGTATTCAAAAACAGAAAAGCACGTGGTTCCACTGAATCCATTTCTGAAAGAGAATGTTGTGAAGTAGCCTGCTGAAGTAAGACCTACCCCGAGGACCACGGAGAGGCTTCCGATGGTTGACTCTGGGTGATAAACTGAGAGCTGGGTGTGTGTGGGCTGTTCATTAGGATTACATTGGAGCCACTGGGCCTCTGAGGTGTGCTAATGACCTGTGATAGAGACGATCAGGTTTAGAAGACAATATGGCAAACATCATAAAAGAGTAAATGATGCTTGTTGCCAAAATATTAAACATGTTAATATCATCTGTATTGATCTTTACCTTGATGAAATTTAAACTAAGTTGTGACGGAAGGAAAACATTTATTCAACTAGGACAAACGCAAGCTAACATGTTTCTTTTTTATGCTGGTTACATATAAATGACACTTTTCCAATTCTAACTGACATATGGCGACGAATTAAGAACAGCAGCTGTGAATATGCAGGTGGCTAAACAGCAAGTGTCATTTAAATGAGCCAATAATTCCTCTTTTCTAAATTAGTTCATTTCATTTTTAGTCATTATGGGAAGCCCGTTTCAGTGTCCGACGTGGAGGTTATTAGACAAACCCTGACTCTCTCCAGCAAGTAAAAGCTGCATCCCTTGGATATATTAAAGCAGCTGTAAACTCAAAGCTGGTTCCCATCCCTAAGAAGGATTACTGTACCTCACTCCTTCAATGATTACTGTGAATTGCTCAATGTGGATTCATAAAACTGTAAACTAAACATAACCATTCTTGGAAATGTGTTTCAGCCTGAACTGCCAGATCAGAAGTCAAATAATTCTCTTTCTTCATTCAGGAGATGGTGGGTGTTCAACATCATGACTCTAGCTCTGTGTAAAACACTACAAGAGCAGAGGCAAAATTATTTCCAGTTTCCATTAGCTTTTCCCCTATTGACGCCTAACAACTCTTAGTTGTCATAAACAAAAGTCACTTGCAGGGCTTAAATAAAAAAAAAGGCCTAGGTGATAAGAGAGTGACTTGCCCTATTTTGCTAAAGCTTGAGGTCTTTTGTTTCCTACATGATGATCATCATGTACGAAACAGTTAAATGCAGTTAAAATGGATGGAAAATTTAATCAGTAACGCTTTGCTCAAAATGCCACTGACGTTTACAGCTGACAAAGCAAAACTATAGGCATAAAAAGGCCATTCTGCAAAGAAACGGTTTAGTGAAAAATATATAATGCTATATTTTCAGAGCCTTAGACATCTTAAAATATAATTGCAATCATATTTCACAATATTCCTGTTTTGTTTTTTTTTGTTTCTTGGTCAAATAAATTCAGCCTTGGTGATCATAAGAGACTTCTTTCAAAAACATTAATAAAAATCTTACTGAGGCCAGACTTTTGAACAGTAGTGTATACTGCTATTTTTGAGCCCTGCAATTGGCATTACTATAGTAAGTGATAAAACTGGAAATTCTATACAATGCCTGAACAAACATCCGATTAAAGCATTGGCTTTTTAACAGTGTGTACAGACAGGAGATTAAACCTGAAAAACAAACTGGAAACGCTTATGTGATCTACAGGTACATCTCAATAAATTAGAATGTTGTGGAAAAGTTCATTTATTTCAGTAATTCAACTCAAATTGTGATAATTTGTTGAGATAGTGAATTGGTGGGTTTTTGTTAAATGTGAGCCAAAATTATCACAATTAAAAGAACCAAAGACTCAAACTACTTCAGTCTGTGTGCATTGAATATATTTAATACACGAGTTTCACAATTTGAGTTGAATTACTGAAATAAATTAACTTTTCCATGACATTCTAATTTAATGAGATGCACCTGTATATGCGTCTTTGTTTACGCAGTCAAACTCCATTCAAAACTTACCATGTGTGGTGCGATATTCACGTTGGAAGGGCCCAGTGTTTTTGGCAACAGGTGTTTTCCAACAGCCACTGACTGTGGATGCACTGTTACTAAAGACAGCACACCTGCAGGGGTAGTATTCACAGAGGACATCTTAATGCAGTGCTATGTAGGGTCAAGCAGGGCTTTTTGTTTGGGCTTTCGTAAAGCATTACTGTAAGATCTAACATCCTTGAATATCTTCAAAGAATTCAGCTGCTGATGCAGTGCACTGTTATCTTCAGAAACTTCTAATGCTCCTCTTACCTTTGCCAGGGCTCAAGTTCTGATCAATGAAAACCTTCAACTCCCCATTGGCCTCAATCAGACCAGCCTGTGGAAAACAAGATGACCATCAACTCATTGACTTAAACTCCATTTCCAGTCAATTACATCTAATAGAGCAAGAGAATACTCACATCTTTGGCCATGATCCCTGGGGCTGAGGAATAGATGCTTGGTCTAGATGAAAAACCTGAGCCAAAATTCCACAACAAAATGTCTCTGTAACAGAAATGAAACTGGTTTGGCACAAAAGCTGAGGACACTTGAAGACTGTAACCAAGGTTACTACACAAATCTTTGTTTCTCATGAGAAAAGTTTTCATTTGCAACAACCGCCAAAAGGACGCAACGATCAATGGGCTTTCAAACAAGTATATCTTGCCATTTCAGGTGGTTTTTCTGATCTGTGAACAGAAGCTCAGAGACAGACAGACGAGTCTGGTCTCTATGGTAGGCCTCAGGTTTGCCTTCCTTCATGCCAAAAGCCTCTACGAGCAAGACAGGACCAGCATTCATCAAAAATGCCAAATGTTCACAATAATTGATGCAAAAAAAAATGTTGCTGCATGTCTGAAAACCACAAAGGAATCATTATTAGGCATTATAGGTAGGTTCAAACTTCAAATGTTCAGCATATTTATATACTTTTTCAGTTTAACGTGTTAAAAATATTTAACGCCGTTAACACAGGGGTGGGGCTACTTTTGGCCACCCCACTCACAACTGCTGCCACTGTCTCTTTTTTTCTTGCTAATTTAGTCTCAGAACGTCTTTACAAGCACATCAAACAGGAGACGTTTCAGATGCGCACTCCACTTCACCTCAGCGCCTGGTGCGGAAAGGTCACGGTATTGTAGGCCAGGGGTTTTCAACCTTTTAGGACATGCGCCCCCAACCCCGCCCCCCCAAGTTTGACATCAACATAACGCAAATATCCATTAAAGCTATTAAAGCAGCGAATTATTTTTCTTTTGCTCTTTGTGATTAACATTTATATAAGAAATGCACGGATCCGTTATACTGATGTACATCTGATATTTTCTTTACTGTTTACTTTCGCTTAAAACAACCGACTGTGCTTACAAGGATACTTGTCAAGACAGCCATTGGTATTCACCTGCTGTCTGAGAAGGCTATCTGTTTGTGCACTTCAGGTGTGTGCGCGGTGCGCATAGAAACGCTTTATGTGATGAGATGTCTTGGGCTTAAATGGCTTAAAATTACTTTAATGTTTAAACTGACAAGACTTAAAACACGTGAGAATGAAAAACTTTCTTGAGGAAGCAGCACTGGCCTGATCGTTAAGATAGTTTTGCGGGGCTAAAGCCCAATTTATACTTCTGCGTCGAACCTACGCCGTAGGTTACGCATAGACGCACACCCATACGCCGTAGCCTGACGTGCACCTCTCCAAAAATCTAACAGCGCGTCAATTCTACACAGACCGCAAGCGCTGTGATTGGTCTGCAAGAACCCCTCCCTCCATATGTACTTGAGTTTTGTGTGAGTTTATGTGCACTTTAATATATTTTAATGTTACACTTCTTATATAAAATTTAAAAAAGCAAAGAACAAGTGTCTTATCATTTATTATACTACATAGCATTATACATCAGTAGTTGTCCGCAACAAAAAATGTTGATCTGCCGTGGTACAATTCCTTGTGCAGATTGAAAGTATGCCATCTTCTCCTGTTCCGTTGTTGTCTCCTTTTTGTAGTTTTAAATAATGATTTAAAGGGGTCATATGATGCTGCTAAAAAGAACATTATTTTGTGTATTTGCTGTAATTAAATGTGTTTATGCGGTTTAAGGTTCAAAAAACACATTATTTTCCACATACTATACATTATTGTTTCTCCTCCATGCCCCGCCTTTCTGAAACGCGTCGATTTTTACAAAGCTCATATAAATGAAAACTGACGCATAGCCTACGGCGTAAAGGCTACGGCATCGGTCCGACGCAGAAGTATAAATCAGCCTTAAGGTGACAGATAGGGGGGCTGAAACCCACCTAAAAAGGGTTTAGAACCGCCCCTGGTATAGCGTGCGTAATTATACTGAAACATAAATATATAACCAGTTTACCAGATTTAATGTGATGGCTGAGCCTGTTTCTGAGATAACAACATGCCAATCCGTGGTTGGATTTCCGACACGGCTAACCGTAAATCATCTTACACTGTCAATAAGCGTGACTGATACTCGAGCCAACTCTGCTCTAAATGTCGACTAGCAGTGGGAGTCAGATTGCCCCCTAGTGGATGGCTAAAGATTTGCTAACTCATATTCATAAATCCTCAAAGGAATGTCTCTGAATTAACTGATGCTCACGACCCCCTTGACAGGTGCCGCTCTTCAATTGCACGCACAAAGGCGCCGGCACGCGCTGTAGCCTTTATCATTTCATATCAAAGCACGAAAGAAACGACGTGCATGCAATGTCATGGTCAGTTAAGTCATGAAGGCGATTAAAGCTGCCTTAAAACTGTGCATGCATGTATTAGGATATATGTTATATATGAGTCACATTTAAGAACTCTGAAATGGATTTCAAAACTTTCCTGAAGCAGCCCAACACTGTCTCCCTCATCTAACACACCCGATTCAACTCGTCAGCTCATTAATAGAGACTTTAAGACCTGAAGTGGGTCAGAAAAGGTAAAGAGAGTTGAGAGAAAATATGATGCTTGTCAGATCCGCGTCACGTTCAGCAGCGGCAGCTCTTAAAGAAATAACAGCCAGAAAACTGACGCATAGCCTACGGCGTAAAGGCTACGGCATCGGTCCGACGCAGAAGTATAAATCAGCCTTAAGGTGACAGATAGGGGGGCTGAAACCCACCTAAAAAGGGTTTAGAACCGCCCCTGGTATAGCGTGCGTAATAATACTGAAACATACATATATAACCAGTTTACCTGATTCAATGTGATGGCTGAGCCTGTTTCTGAGATAACAACATGCCAATCCGTGGTTGGATTTCCGACACGGCTAACCGTAAATCATCTTACACTGTCAATAAGCGTGACTGATACTCGAGCCAACTCTGCTCTAACTGTCGACTAGCAGTGGGAGTCAGATTGCCCCCTAGTGGATGGCTAAAGATTTGATAACTCATATTCATAAATCCTCAAGGGAATGTCTCTGAATTAACTGATGCTCACGACCCCCTTGACAGGTGCCGCTCTTCAATTGCACGCACAAAGGCGCCGGCACGCGCTGTAGCCTTTATCATTTCATATCAAAGCACGAAAGAAACGACGTGCATGCAATGTCATGGTCAGTTAAGTCATGAAGGCGATTAAAGCTGCCTTAAAACTGTGCATGCATGTATTAGGATATATGTTATATATGAGTCACATTTAAGAACTCTGAAATGGATTTCAAAACTTTCCTGAAGCAGCCCAACACTGTCTCCCTCATCTAACACACCCGATTCAACTCGTCAGCTCATTAATAGAGACTTTAAGACCTGAAGTGGGTCAGAAAAGGTAAAGAGAGTTGAGAGAAAATATGATGCTTGTCAGATCCGTTGTCATGTTCAGCAGCGGCAGCTCTTAAAGAAACAGCACCCAAAATAACCTATTAACCCAGCTGCTGTAATGTCTGTTCATCAAAGAAAAAAAAAGAGAGGAAATCAATAACTTTTATAGCTTTAAAGGGGTCATATGATGCTGCTAAAAAGAACATTATTTGGTGTATTTGGTGTAATTTATGCAGTTTAAAGTAAAAAAAACACATTATTTTCCACATACTGTACATTATTGTTTCTCCTCTATGCCCCGCCTTTTTGAAACGCGTCGATTTTTACAAAGCTCATTGGTCTGAAAAAGCGAGGTGTGCTGTGACTGGCCAGCTATCCAATGCGTTGTTATTGGCCGAATACCTCAAGCGTGAGACGGAAATGTTACGCCCCTCACATACTGTTGATGCCGTGTCCCGGCCGGAGCGACGAGACAAAAACATTAAAACCCATTACAAACGAGGCATTTGTTGCATCCAGTGGGGACATAATTACTGATTATAATGACTTATACTGCCTTTTTACGCGTTGCGTTGCATTGCGCC